AATGACTCGAAATCTTCACGGGTGGAGTAGAAGGAGGCGTTGGAGGCCATGCTGTTTGGACGGCTGTCCTTCAGGTCGTCGTAACCGTGGACGGACAGATGTTTCTGTATGAGAGAGAGTGAGGTAAGACATCTGACAACAGATTCAGAAAAAGAAGTAAATCTGGAGGTATTTCTGTATGAGAGAGAGTGAGGTAAGATATTTGACAACAGTTTTTTACAGACAAATATTTACTGTTCCAATATGAGCGATTTGATTAAACACCTGAAGAAGAACCTTGGTCTGAATATACTAACGTCTCCTCTCAGTTTAACGTCTACAGCACCAACCTTTCTGAAACTGAGAGCTACTTCAAGGGTTCTTAGTAATATGAAGAGCTACCTGTTTGATACAGACGTCCCAAACAATGTAATAATAATTAGTTCTGGGACATGCAGTAGTAGACACCATTTGAATATCACTGTGGAACTGGTTCAAAAACCACAGTAACAGTACATGTTTTGACCCTGTTGTTGTTAACTAGTTTGATTTTTAGAACATAGCCCTTAGGCACCTTATGGGGGCTACCAGGTGACCCCGGGCACCACGTTGGTGACCCCTGGTCTAGACAGTTAGTTCTACACATGCTGGAGATGTTTATAATTTTTGCAATTTAATTGTTCTATGGCTGTTAAAGCTCTGCTCACTTTCTGTTCAGCTGTTTATTTTTTGTTATTATTTTATCCTTAGTTTAATAAATATAGTGTCTAATGTGACATAATGTCTTTGGTTTAGTACAGAAATATGTGTATCAGTAGTATCCTGCTCAGTTTCCTATCTGTGGTTCACCCACATACTGCACGTCACTCTATTACCCACAGAGCTCCACTGTGTAGTATAACACTGAACCCAGTTCATTGAATATCTACTAAAACCAAACCTTCAAAAAGTACTAGTCACTGCACCCTGAAGTACTTGTACCTGCATCAGTTTCTAACAAATGGTAACAGAACAACCCTGCTTTAATGTAATCAGTTCCTGGTACTAAAAGGCCCTAACTTCAAACTATATTATTGTTTTAACTGGTGGAGTAAACATGTACAACAAGTATGTTTATACCTTGAGTTTGTTGGCCAGTTGTTGGTTCTCCAGAGTTAGAGCAGTAATCTTAGCCTGCAGAGAAGAAACCAATGCTGCCGATGCCGAAAAGCTGTGTTCAGCCTGTCAACACACACACACACACACACACACACAAACACACGTTTAAGTGCAGGAAGAGGCATCAAAGGTATGCTCAGGACCACTAGCTACCTGCTGGAAAACAGAGCGGGTCGAGACATGTCCAAAGCTGAGGTTAG